TTACTAGTATATTTAGTAGACCTTAAGCGAGTCATTTAACCACCCTGAGAAACCACTTTTAATATGTAAATTGAAAAAACAATCTTGCAATGGCCCAAAAGAATAAATAATTCATTATAAAATCTCCAACAAAGCCTCTGAATTACAGTGGATAGTCACAAGGCATGGGGAAGAGGACAGATGGGAATTCATTTAGACTGCCCTTATTGGAGAGAAAGCCACAGTGCTAGTTAACAACTAAAATGGCCATCTCTTTCTCCATGTTATTTTAAAAAGGAATGAAATAATATAGTATCTTATTAATGCTCTACTTTAGACAAAGCCAAGTCTACAGCAGCATGAAGAACAACAGTCAAGTCATATTGCCAATATGATTTAAAAATGAACAATATCAGGCAAATAGTGATTTTTTTCTTTTTCAATTTATAAAAAGACTACTAAGATTTATATTACTGTCTAAATAGCCCCTACTTCTAATCTCTATTACCTGTGAAAAATGTTTAAAGAGACAAGGAATGGAAAAGGAAAAGTACATCAAGAGGGAACTTAAATGGTACCAAGGTAAAGAATAAGTAAAGCTGAAGTTAACTTGCTCTAGATAAACCCCTTATGGACTTTTACCTGGTTAAAAAAAAAAAATCAATTTGAAATGCCCTCCTGAGATCTTCCCACCTACTTTCTTTGCTAAAATAGGAGTAAGGGGTATTTATAAAATCAACTATAGAGCACTTTTGGCTCAGTGGGGTTTGAGAAACAACAATAAAATAGAATATACATGAACAATGTCCATAAATGTTTCCTTTCCAGTCTAGACTAAAAAGGTTCCAATTAACTAGGGATCTCTAGTACACTATTCACTCTTTAACTAAATTCTTTACAATATACCAAGAATGCACTGGAAGGAATACAAACATGGTATCACATTTAGGCCTAAAGAAATGAGATTAAAACAACAAGAAAGTGCCAGAAGAGAACTATAAAGAAAGTATTAGTTATGGAAGAAGAACCAAGAAAGAGTTAAAGAATGAATGGATTAAATAGAGAAAACCAGAAAGGAAGGAAGGAGGAATGAACTATAGTTGGAGGACCAAGATAAAGCAATGGACAGAGGCCACTGCTAAATGGACTCAGGAAAGCTATTGGATTTAAAAACAGAAACAGACATATAGTTTATCCGACAGAGATAAGTACATATACTCACATCCATCCAACTTGCAATACAGCTAATATATATTTGAAGAAAAACTATATACACATTTTATTCAATTCCATGAACTCAATCTCATGCACTCACCTAGAAAGACAGCGAGAGAAGGAGAAAGAGAAAGAGGGAGAGAGAGAGAGAAACATCTCACACAACCAAATACTGAAACACATTTATTCCCCAGTGTAAACAGGAGATTGAAGCTATGGGTCTAAGTCTGCCAGCCCTACTCCCATGTGCCTCACCCAGCATGCTCATCATAACTCCTGAGTTAAAGATAGACATTTTTCATACAACACAGCTCTACTCATAAGTAAGCCACTTTAGTCAATGTTCAAACAAAGAAAATGGTAATTCATTCAGGCACTGAAGGAAGAACTGGCTGTTACACTTGATGAAAGGCAGAATACTGTCATTTATGAACTATTTAAGAAACTTTTGAGAGTAATTTTGGCTCAGTTTTTGCTTCACATGCAGATTTTAGAATGTATTTGCTGCTTAATGCCTTTTTCCTTTCTCATCTTAATTATATTAAGCACATTGGAAACAGGTAGCTAAACAGATTTTGTCCAAAACAATTATTTGGGGACAGAAAATTGTATAAACAAAGTGAACATTTCAGGAAGCTAACATCAGACAAATAAAAACAAAACCTCTGAGCAATGGGTAAGGTTACAGAAAAAGTGTGGGCACAAAGTTCAAGACAGCTCCCCCATGTTGAACTTGGGTAAGAAAGTGAAGTCAAGTTGGAAAGCATTTACAAGGGGTTATGAGTGGCTCTTTTCACTTTCTTATAAAACCACTAATGTCTCTTTTCCCTGAGCCAATACTTTCAAATAATAGTGCAAAATTCTGGAAACATTTATTAAAACATCTTCAATATCAGATTAACATTTTCTGAAAACTAGACTAACACAATAGGGGATGGAGGTATTTTTACTTTTAAATAGAAGCTTATAATTGCATTGCATAAATGACAAAGTCATTCCAAGTCACACATTTGTTTATTTCTTTACCAATACCTAGTGAGTACCTACTATGTGCAAGACACTGTGATAGATCCTGGATATACAAAGTAAAATAAAACACAAAAATGGGGGCTGGAGGTACAGTTGCCTAGCAGGTACAAGGTCCTCAGTTTGATCTCTAGCACTGTAAAAAGAAAAAATGGTAATAATAATACCTGTTCCCTTCAAGGCATCCTCAACCTAATGAGGAAGTTTTACTCAAATTAGGGCCTAGTGTTACAAGAAGAGTATACACAAGGTACTGCAGAAGGAATCAGGAAATTGTACCTGAGTAAAATGAAGGAAATTTACAGCTGTACTTCCCAACTGTGATTCTATATCAGAACCAAACAGAAGCTTATGTCTTGGCCTCACTTCAAACAAAATGAATTATAATCTCCTAAACCTTCAGGTGGGACTAAGAAATTTGTATTTTTAACATGTGCCTCAAGTGATTTAGAATCAAGACCAGGTATGGATAGAACTGTAGGTAATCATTTCAGCCTGGCAGGATGTATGAAATACAAACAACAAAGAGCAATCAATACATGAGTAGGGATGTAACTACAGTAGTCTTTCAAACAGGACCTGCAGAATTGGTGCAACTTCCAAAACAAGTAACAATCATCTATGTTACATATTTCAGTAAATGATTTGTGACATGAACTAATTTCCTATTGAAGCATATGAGAAATCTAAATGCAAATACTTCACATTTCAAGACAAAGATAAAATGTTCCTTTCCTTTAAACACAAAATAAACAAGACAAAAAACAGAACACCACTCAATTTTTATTAAATGTAGCAACTAATGATTTCCCTCAGGATCATTTCTGGGATTAGAATAGAAGTTCTGATAATACTGTCTTAACCTGAAAATGTTTCATAATGTATAAAATAAACTTAACATGTTTTTGAAATGTGATTTTAAAACTGTCCTTAAAGATTATAAATTTTTTTAATTTACTAGGAACAAAGGCACTTTTTAATTAAATATTTAGTATGATTTGTAATGATTTGGTATCTCCCATATATTATTAAATAACTGTATTATTAATTCCCTACAGCATTTTTTTTCATTTTTTTTATTGTTGTACTGGGGAACACTGTAGCATTTACAAAAGTTCTTACAACATATCAAATATACATAGTTGAAGTCACCCTTTCCATCATTCTCACTTATTCCCCCTCCTCCTACACCTGGAATAGTTTGAACAGGTCTCATGATTTTAAATTTTCAAACTGTTATAACAATGTTACTTTCTGACTAAAGTTTACCTATAATTGTACTTTTATACTCAATTCCAAGGAAGAATTGAATGACAAAGTCACCAATAACAGGACCATTTATAATAAGCTAATAGCAAAACAAAATCTTTTTCAATTGATTTCTATTTTTAAATGCTAAATAGTTTAAATCAACAACTGTTTAAATCCCTCAGTTCACCTCTAGAACAAAGACTTCATAAACAGAGATATAGACAAGCAATCATTTGAAATGGAAATAAGCCTTCAAAAGAAATTTTTCAGAAACCTAGGGAGAAACTTACTGAACATAATATACAAGATAATACATCCTATTGCTATCTTTTACTTCTAAATAAACCCTCCAAATCTTACTTAAATCATTAAAATGTATCCTAACAATTGATTCATAGAACAGGAAGATTTATTTACCAGTGTAAAATCTGTTGCCAAACCATGCAATAGTGATCCTCTGAAAGAGTACACAGGACACAAAAGCAACGGCAGTTAAAAACTAAAGGACTAACCACATAGCTCTACAAGACAGCCGGCTAACAAATAACAGAATTACACCTGCATTCTTCATACAACAAACCAACCTCCTTCTCAGTTAATTTAATACAATTTTAAAAACAGTAATATTATCCAGTTGCCTTAATTTTTTTCCAGGTGAAATACAGAAATTACGTTACAGTTTTGTTCATTTTTTTCAGGCTTCAATGATCTATTTACATAGAAGGCAGTATCACTTGCTTTCCTGGGTTAGGCACTGCTTCATTTCTGCCCTGCACCACTTTATTCATAGCTCCATTTTGCATTGCTGTTAGTACTTGAATCCTGCAAGGAGGTACTAATAGCACCATGTAATACACGAGAAATCACTGCAAAAGCCAGATTTCAAACTCATGTCTCACTACAAAGCTCTTTCCATAGTACTACACAACTATTAAAAAAATCAAACCAAAATAACTGACTACAATTTCTTGGTATCACTGCTTTGGTAGCAGCAAAAACAAATCTGTCACAGATAAACCAAATGTATAAGACATGGTCTGGGTGGAGGTGGGGGATGCTACCTAGCACCTGAACTGCTCTCTATAAGTAGGAAATTTCTCACTTTATGAATCTTCCTAGAAGGCACAGCCTATCTCCCTATACAGAAAAAACAGTGCCAGGTACTACTACTTTCAGTTCCCTGTAGTTAAGTGACATCGTCACTTATCCTAGACTCTGCCAATATGACTCCCAACAAGCACTCTAGAAGAGATAGACAGGAAAAATTGGGTTTGAACAGCAGAAGACAGTAGCAACACACAGTATCCAAAGGCAACAGTGGCAGCTCCCCAGAGGTGGAGTCCAGCCTTCAGCAATTTGCAGCCACATTATTTGTCACTAGACTGGGTTTATGTCAGGATTTTTAGCTATGTCTTTTCTGCTATCTAGTCTTCCTTGTTCTATTTAAGGCTACAGCCTTTTCAGGAGTTCAGTGAACAAATCAATATGCTTTTGATAAGACTCTTTTCTGCCTAAATCAGTCAGAATTGTCCTCTGTTGCTTATAAAAACCCTAAGACATTTAACAAAAAAAATAATTATACCTAATCAAATCATTTTACCTTATTATTTGCTCTTTTATATAACTTGCCATTATGGTCTTAAGGTGCATCTACTTTATACATGACGGTATGTTCTAACAATATGAACAACAACAAAAAAACTTCAAGTCAGGTTTCTTTAGCTCTTTCAAAAACAACACAAAAACACAGTCTACTAAGGATCATCATTACTGAGCTTCAAAGTTAATTAAGATTTCTTACCTGTCAGGAATACCTAGCCTCTTGACACTTCTATAAACAGAAAGAGTATTTGCAACATGTCGATAGTTAAACCAGAATCGGGATGTACACACCTAAAGTATTAAAACAAAAATATGATTTTTATGAGTCAAAATAAGCCATGGATTTACAGAATTATTTTCCTTTAAGTCTAATATAAAAATATGTGAAGAAAGAATATCAAAGCTTAGAAATAGCAAAGAACATAAAGAACTGTCAACAAAACCAGTCTCTCTACAGGGAGGACTTTCATAACTGATATTAAATAAAAAGACCATCCAGCTGAAGAGAAAACAAATCTTTGGGGAATTTAATCAAATACTGAACCAACTTAGTTACTCTCCATTTCTGTGATTCTGTAACATTCTTATTTCTAAGATTAAGTTCTTTAGAATCAAAGAAAATGCCCCTAATCTCTTCACAGAATAGAGAAGAAAATTAGCTACCTTGAGTTCTGTAATACTTGTTTCTCTCTTGATTGCTTCCTTAGTTGTAAGAAATGTAGGACACAGATAAAACGTATGATAGAAAAGTTTTGTATGCACATACAAAAATGTATTCTAAAGCTACTAGACAAAACAGAAAACTAGAAACAATTCTACCAATTTTTATACTTAAAATATTACTAAAAATGATATAAAAGATGCTAGAAAAATGTAACTCTATGGCTCTAAAGTTATTTCCTTGGGAATCCATTCTAAGGGAGGCAAACAAGATTTAGGATCCACTGGCAGTATGTCCACCAAGCACACACCTGCTTCTTACTACATGCCTGTGCTTACAGTAGGTATAATGACAATTTTGAGAATTGTACAGACCAGTCATGGTGATTCACACCTGTAATTATAGATACTTTGGAAGCAGAGATCAGGAGGACTATGGTTTGAGGCCAGCCAGGCACAAGTTAGTGAGAACCCATCTCAACAAATAAGCCAGGGCACAGTGGCCTATGCCTGTCATCTTGGCTACATGGCAGGTGTAAACAGAATTGCAGTCTAGGTTATTTCTGCAAGTTTATATAAGTTTATATCTTCTTCTGAAGAGAAGAAACATAAGGTATTCTTTCTTGGAGAATATGAAATGAGCCAGGAATTCATGTTAAAGTATTCTATTTAATCACAATATAATTATATCAAATACACACACACACGTACATATATATATATATATCAACTGTAATCACTCTATTTACTTCTAGCAGCCTGCAGATATAGTCTTACGTTTGCTTAGCACTTAAGCTGAATTACTCTACCCAACTCCTTTACAGTTCCACTGTATCCCTGCAATTCATCTTCCCATTTCTTTCCTTTCTCAGCATGAGTTAAAGGTTTTGAGATGCTGTATTCTTTGCTCCCTTTCCTTTTTTCACAAAAAAAATCAGCTTCCTTTCCTACCTCCTTGAGCTGACTATTTCCTTACCCTTTCTTCTGTCTGGCCCTTGCTACATTTGACTATGACACCCACTCCCTCAAATTTCATGTGTTATGTGACTGGATGTGGGCCTTTGGGAGGTAATTAGGTTAGATAAAGTCATGAGACTGGGCCCCATGATGGCATCAGTGGCTTCAGAAGAGACATGAGCTAAACAATTTGCTCTGCCTTATCATGTGATGCCCTGTCAGTCATAACACTGCAAGGTCATGATCAGGTGCTGAGGAGATTCTGAGGCCACATTCTTGAGCCTGCCACCTTCCAGAGATGAAAGGCAAAAACCTTTGTTCTTCATCAGTTACCCAGTCTCAGATATTTTTTGCAATAAAAAGACATCCCTTTTACATGTTTTTTCATTAATTCAAACATACTCTTATCTTCTAATCATATAAATGTCATTAAATTAACCCCAGTAGTAAAACTATTATCCAAATATAAGAAAAGTAAAGTTGATTATATGTATCCTACTTGGAGAATGAAGAACATCAACTTATGAATCCAGCCTGCGAGGAAAAGTTAATTCACACCAAGTGGCAGGGGGAGATAGAAAAAATAGTCCAATACGCAAATTAAAACAAGATTTAATCTGTGCCCAGCAGTCAAAAAGAAAAAAGTTAGTAAAACCCAGTTGACTTAGAACTAGAAAGAGGCACAGTCTTTCTAGAGAGTAACCATGCTCCATGACTTCATATTTTTATGCCCAGGAATTTATCCTAAAGAGAAAATCAGTCAAGTTCACAAAAATGTATGTATAAAAAAATCCAAATAGCTGGGATAAAAACATAAGAACTTAAAATCTAAACGCCCACAAACTACAGATTACGGTACATTCATGGCTAATACAGCCTTTGAGAAAGATTACAAACCCCAGATGCACTAAGGGGTTGCAAAACAGCACATAAAATATGATCCCAGTTATTTAAAAAAATCATAGATTATCCATCATGATGCCTTATATTTCTCTTCCTTATATGAAGAGAAAGAGAGGCCACCAAAATATTGTCTCTGGAATTTGGGAAATGAAGACATTTTTCCTCTCTTCTTTTTGTTTAAGTTGAGATGAAATCCACATATCATAAAGTTAGTGTGTCATCTTTTAAACTTTTCTGTATGATTTGAATTTTCTACAATTATCATTTTTATTTCTGTAAACATAAAAATAAAACAACATAAGTATCAATAAGCTAATATTTTAGACAGGAAATATAATTACTCATTTCCAGCATTAAAATAATTATACATTTTATGAAATGCTTTCTTTAGTAACAGCCCCTCTAATTTATTCTTGTATTTACTTACATCTCCACTAGACAGATAAATGAAGGACAAGGAGTATTGTTAAAAGTACTAGTTGACACGGTTAGTTTAAAATATGGCAAAATCAAAAGTTTCTGGCAAAAATATAAGAAAATAAATTTTATTTTCAAAACTGTTATTCACACAATAGTTTGCAGACACATATTTCATGTGAACAAGATAAACCTTTATAGAATATACTTACTAAAACAGCCCAGTTATTTGTATGGCCACTTCTAAAGAACTGTTCTGCTTGATCCTATCAGTCAAATAAAAACAAAATGATTAAGGAAAAATCTCACAATTTCCTAGAATAAAGACTGATAAAGGTTAAGACTCATAGACTTTTTCAGTTGTAATAGTAATCATCTTTGGTTTATGAAGATAACTTATCTGACTTGATTCCTAAGCTGTGAGGATAACTCAGAGGTAGAATGTTTGCCTAGTATGAGGAAGACTCTAAGTTAGTGCAAAATGAAAGTAATGCCAACCCTGCAATACAGTGTCATATTACAAGACTATAAATGTATGCAAGAACTTCTCCTTTAAAAATTATTACATATTACGTAAATGAAAGTTTACTACTTAAGTCACATTTTATTATTTCCCACACTCTGAGAATTATTAAGAAAGTAGAGCAAGGCATAGTGGTGTACAATCATAATCCCAGGAGGTGTAGATAGGAGGATTGTGGTCTAAGGCCTGTTTACATTTGAAAAATAAAAGCGAAAAGGGGTGGAGGCAAGGCTCAAGTGGTAGAGTACTTGCCTAGCAAGCATGAGGCCCTGAGTTCAAGCTCTACTGCTACCAACAATATAAAGTAGAAAGTCTGCTCAATAGAGAACACAAGATTTGCTCGAAAGACTTAATAAGGCTATCATTTAAAACCACAATTTCACCTCACCACTTTCTTACCCTGCCTTACCTTCTCCATTGTGTTCACCATCTTCTTACATATCATCAGTTTACTTACTATGTGCATCACTCATTCTCTCTTCCCATAGGATATAAGCTCCAACAGGACAGACCCTTTCATCAGTTATAGTCATTAATGTTAATCCAAGTTTGGCACATAGTAGGTTTTAAACAAATGTTTTTTGACAGAATGAATATATGGTCCACATGCCTTTACTGGTAGTGAACAAAGCAAGAGTATCTCCTAAAAAACTGCATGAATGATGGGTTCAGAATAAGAAGGTGTTATATAAAGGTTGTACCATAAAGCTATAAATTTCAAAATCTCCTTTTAGATTATACTGATAATCCTTTATTAAAGTGATCACTCTCTGCAATGAGAATGTAAAATGAAAATATTAATGCCAAGAACTTCTCAAAAATTACTATTTCATTTTTAATACCATAAATATAGCTTTTATCCCCATGAGCTTGTTAAGAGAAATAACATAATCTCCCTACCTCCTCAACCAAAACAACGTAACTGCTCAAATTTCCCACAGAAGTCTTTTTAATCTTTCAGTAACCCTGTTGTTGATTCTCTAAAATCTGTGCAATTAGGAGAACTCAGTCTTTAATACTGTTCATAATAGTAAACATTAATGATCAGGAAATTGCACTGGAGCATCCATAAAAGCTGTTGAGTTGTTGGGTTTGGGGGATTTTTTTTTGTTGAAAGACATTAATGGAGGGCTATTTGTTTTTAAACATTTTATCTCAAACACAGCCAAGTCTTCCTCATAGGCTTCTAATTTTCCATTCAGTCTTCAAGTTATAAATGACTTATTTTATGCCTTGATTCTACACATAACAATTCATACCTTTTCTGCTAATACTTCATTCAACATCCATTCCTATTTCATGACGAGTGCTTTATTTGAACTCAACCAATATGTTTTTGAGCATATCCTCTTATCCCATGTACCATTTTACTAATCTGTTACAGTAAGTCTGAATTGTATTTGCCATTTCAAGGCATTAAAAACTTCAGTGTCCAGCACCATCTTGACACCTAATGAACATGATTTTAATTACATATTAAATTAATGATGGATCTAAACCTTACTGATCTCAGAGCTGCTCCCAAACAGTATTAGTTAGTAGAACAGTCAGGATGCCTAGGGTCCAATCTGGCTCTATTAGTCACTAGCTATACCAATATAAGAAAGTTGCTTAATTTGTCTGTGCCTCCAATTCCTCATCTATAAAATGGTACTATTATTGACTCACAGAATATAGGAATGGTGATGTAATGATTGCCTAACAAATGTTAGCTGTTTTAATTTTCTGTCTAGCAGGAAATTTTCAGGAGAATAAAAAGTTCCACTCAAACATGTATGGGTAGAATATATTTCTTTTTTCTCCCCCTCCAAACGCTCTCAATAGTTGCTTACATGCTGAAGAAAGCAACAAGCAATGTGCTATTGTGGATAAAGTACTGGTTAGGGAATATGAAGCCTTAAGCTAAAATCCTGGAGCTGTGAGTTCAGGGCAATTATTTAGCTCTTTAAACTTGACTTTTCTTCTGTAGAAAAAGATACTTGACCAAAATAATGTCTAGTGAACTTCCCAGCCTCAAAATTCTTTTTTTTTCAGTTTTATTGTATTAGAGCTGTACCCTCTGTACATTGTGACATTTACAAAAGTGCTTACTGACAACATATCTTAGTTAAATTCACCCCCTCCATCATTCTCCTGTATCCCCTCTCCACCCTTTAGAATACTTTCAATAGGCCTTGTTTTTCCATCCTCACTCATTAAGTACATAGTATTTCCACCATATTCACCCTTCTTCAGCCTTTCTTTATACTCTCCTCCTTCCCACTGGTACCAACCCCCAGGCAAGACCTGTTTTACCTTCCTGTCCTTCATGTTATGACATTTTCATATATATATGTACTGCAGCCTGAATTGGTTCATCCCCTCCATCTTCTCCTTTCTACCTTACTCCTCTTCCTATGGTGATTTCAACAGGTTTAAATATTCTATACCATTCTTATGTAGAAAGTAAATCAACCATATTCACCCTCCCCTTTCCTATTTTACTCTCTCTCTCCCATTAGTGCCCTCCCCTTAGTGACCTGTTTTTCACTCTTGTCCTTCATTGTTTAGATGTTTGTTCATTGTTTAGCGGGATTTTTGCCTCGGTATTATACTGCATATATGTTGTACCTAACTCAGTCTAACCCCCCTTCCACTACACTTCCTTGTCCTTTTCCCATCATGTGTTGTTTTAACAGTTTTCAGTGTGTTTTGTTGTGTCTTGTTTCTACAAAGATGTGATGTACTTCATTTTTTCCTTTTTTGTGGTACTGGGATTTGAACTCAGGGCCTCACACTTCCTAAGCAGGTGTTCTGCCACTTGAGCCACTCTGCCAGACCTTTTTTTGGGTGTTGGATATTTTCGAGATAGGGTCTTGTGAACCATTTGCCCATTTAGCCCCAAAATTCTTACTTTATTAAGATGTTAGTGAACAATTTGAGATGGCAAAATTCTTTCAATTGTTTAGACAAATAGTCCGTATAAAATTATTCATTCTACATATGGCTACTACAGCACCTATTATGTGTCAGGCACCATATAAGCATGCTTCTTTCTTGCTCTTAACAATCCCAGAATAAAGACGAGCATGCAAATACAATACATCACTACATAACACTCATTAATTCATGACATTCATTGGACATCATGGGCCATTCACTGCCTGAGTGCTCAGAATACTGTGATGAGCAAAAATAGTGATAATACTTAACTTTAAAGAGGTTACTACACAATAATCTCTTGGGTAGACACACATTAGCAAATAAAACTATAAACTCTATAAAGACACACAGTATTTTTTTAAATGCACAACGGGGGGTCTGACTCCAAGGGAAGTCTTCCCTGAAGAAGTACATTTGGTTTAAGATCCAAAAGATGAAGAAAAGAGAGGAAACAATTTCAGTTTGAGGAAATGTGGGCCAATGGAAGAAGGAAGCTTAAAGACTTGAGAAATTAAAATTTAGCATAACTAGACATTTGAAAGGGAGAATAAGAATTGGAGATATAAGCAGGGGGCCTTGTTTTGGGGGCATAATGAGGAATTTGTTCCTTATCATCACAGTCATATTAAGGTACATGTGAGTGATATGATCATATTCTCATTTCTAAAAGTTAATTCAGTTGCAGCTTGGAAAAAAGAATGACTCCAGGAAGACTAATTAGGAAACTACTGCACTGTGAGAGATGATGGAATAACAGTAAAAGAAAACATGATTTATAATAGATAAGTGCTATACTAGCTAAATGAACAGATTACAACAGTAAGGACAGAGGTAAAGGATAGGGGAGGTTCTAAAGAGGTTATGCTTTTAGTGCATCTTAAATGGACAGAAGAAATGCAGGTATAAAACAGTAATATGAAATAGCACAGCAACCATTTAACTACAAAAACTACTAATGGTATCCAAAATGAAGTGTGCAAGATAATCTACTAGGATAAAGGAAGAAAATGCTAAACCTTCATGCTCAGTATCTTTTTTTTTAACTGATGAGGCATGTATTCCAAAAGTTTGGGGTCCACTGGCCTAAGCTCAAGGTGCTGAAGGGAGATGGGATGTCTCCAATACGAAATATTGGAAAAGTAGACAGGGATGCGAGCACAATAGTTACAGTTTATTCTGTAAGCAATGAAGAAACATTAATAGGATTCAATCAGAATAACCTAATCAGTCTTATAATTTATAAAGACTAGCATTAATGTGAGAGTATGGAAGCCTAGAGGAAATAAAGTACTTTAGTCTAGAAAAGAAAATGACTAGAGCCTGTATTAAATTAGTGGAACTGGAGAGATCAAAGCACTTTTAAAACTTCAGATACAGAATTTAGTGATAATTAGAACGTGGAATAAAGAGAGCTGCTTATTAAAACTCCCAGGTTTCTAGCTTACCAGGCACACGTCTGGGTTAGGAAATGCAGGATAAAACAGGTTCTTCGTCTTTCGGTGTCTTTTTAAATGGAGGTAGGGATAAGCAGAAGATAAAACTTTGGACACCGCCTTTCAAAGGCCTTTCGCTACTCTCTGGGCCCCCTAGCCAGCTGGCCTGAAAATGATACTAGGAATCTAAATTATAGGACTGAAGCATCCCGCCAGTGCAGGGTGAGTAAAAGCATTATAGAGGACCAGAACTTCCAATGGCCAAGTTAAAAATGGAGCAGGGAAGAGGGGGACCCACCAGTCCCATCAACATGAGCGCGCTGCAGTTCGCGGGGCGGGGGCAGGTGCTGCAATCCTGGGCTGCCCGTGCTGACATTTCACCTTTCCAGGAAGGTCTGCACACACTAGCAGCCAAGGATCAAGTCCTCCTCTCTCCGAGGATTTGCTACTTTTAATTGGCCATCAAACACCCTCCTCCCCGCAGTCCAGCCCGGGTCTGGTTTGGTTGATGACGCCTGGAGAACTCCCTCAGCCCCGGGCACTGAACACCTGCTGTGGCGCTCAAGGCCACGACACAGCCGTCCCTTCAGGCTTCAGTCGTCAAAAGAGCTTGACTCCTACCTCTATTTGACCAGCGGCCAAGCTGCCCAAAGACAAGAGCAACAGAGCCGCCAGAGCAGTCATAAGCTGGCTGAGGAAGCAGGGGGCGGCCATGTTTGCCGGCTTCAGATTTTTCTGCGGGGCGCTAGGGGCGGGGCGCGTGCCGTAAAGCAGCGCGGCGGGCTGTCGTGCGTTTTCTTCTTTGCGACGCCCACCTCCTAGAGGCCCGCCCCTCTCCTGCCTTTAGAGGTCCGCGCTTGGGCTTGAGTTTCCAGAGTAGCTGACACGAGATAGGTGGGAGTACTGACTTTTATCCTTAACTGAGTGTTCAGTTTTTGTATTATAAAATAGACTTAACATTTAGAAACACTTTGTGAAAGACGAAGGGGGCACCTGTGAAACCACAAAATATAAGAAGCTATTTCCCCTTTTGCATCGAACATAGGAAGCAAGGTGTGGTGGGAACACGAAGCGTTTTATCACAAAGACGATAAATTTCAAGTGCAAACATGGGTGAGTGCTACAACTCAGAGATTTGAGATCTATTATTAAAAGGCTTGAGCATCAAGAAGTTAAAATTTTGAATTTCTTTTTGAGAAAGTTGTGTTTAGTTCACGTGCCCATTTCTTTATTGGTTCATTAGTTTTGGGAGAATTTAGTTTTTTAAGTTCCCTGTATATTCTGGTTATCAGTCCTTTCTCTGATGTATAGTTGGCAAATATTTTCTCCCACTCTGTGGGTGTTCTCTTCAGTTTAGAGACCATTTCTTTTGATGAACAGAAGCTTTTTAGCTTTATGAGGTCCCATTTATCTATGCTATCTCTTAGTTGCTGTGCTGCTGGGGTTTCATTGAGAAAGTTCTTACCTATACCTACTAACTCCAGAGTATTTCCTACTCTTTCCTGTATCAACTTAAGAGTTTGGGGTCTGATATTAAGATCCTTGATCCATTTTGAGTTAATCTTGGTATAGGGTGATATACATGGATCTAGTTTCAGTTTTTTGCAGACTGCTAACCAGTTTTCCCAGCAGTTTTTGTTGAAGAGGCTGCTATTTCTCCATCGTATATTTTTAGCTCCTTTGTCAAAGATAAGTTGCTTATAGTTGTGTGGCTTCATATCTGGATCCTCTATTCTGTTCCACTGGTCTTCATGTCTGTTTTTGTGCCAGTACCATGCTGTTTTTATTGTTATTGCTTTGTAATACAGTTTGAAGTCAGGTATTGTGATACCTCCTGCATTGTTCTTTTGACTGAGTATTGCCTTGGCTATTCGTGGCCTCTTGTGTTTCCATATAAATTTCATCTCTAGCAATAAAGGAAATGCAAATTAAAACCACGCTAAGATTCCACCTCACCCCTGTTAGAATAGCCATCAACAACACCACCAACAACAGGTGTTGGCGAGGATGCGGGGAAAAAGGAACCCTCTTACACTGTTGGTGGGGATGTAGACTAGTACAACCACTCTGGAAAAAAATTTGGAGGCTACTTAAAAAGCTGGACATCGATCTACCATTTGATCCAGCAATACCACTCTTGGGGATATACCCAAAAGACTGTTACTCCAGAGGCACCTTCACATCCATGTTTATTGCGGCACTATTCACAATAGCCAAGTTATGGAAACAGCCAAGATGCCCCACCACTGACGAATGGATTAAGAAAATGTGGTATCTATACACAATGGAATTTTATGCAGCCATGAAGAAGAACGAAATGTTATCATTCATTGGTAAATGGATGGAATTGGAGAACATCATTCTGAGTGAGGTTAGCCTGGCCCAAAAGACCAAAAATCGTATGTTCTCCCTCATATGTGGACATTAGATCAAGGGCAAACATAACAAGGGGATTGGACTATGAGCACATGATAAAAGCGAGAGCACACAAGGGAGGGGTGAGGATAGGTAAGACACCTAAAAAACTAGCTAGCATTTGTTGCCCTTAACGCAGAGAAACTAAAGCAGATACCTTAAAGCAACTGAGGCCAATAGGAAAAGGGGAACAGGTACTAGAGAAAAGGTTAGATCCAAAAGAATTAACCTAGAAGGTAACACCCACGCACAGGAAATCAATGTGAGTCAATGCCCTGTATAGCTATCCTTATCTCAACCAGCAAAAACCCTTGTTCCTTCCTATTATTGCTTATACTCTCTCTACAACAAAATTAGAAATAAGGGCACAATAGTTTCTGCTGGGTATTAAGGGGGGGTGAGGGAGGGGGCGGAGGGGGTGGGGGCAGGGGGGAGAAATGAACCAAGCCTTGTATGCACATATGAATAATAAAAGAAAAATGAAAAATAAATAAATTAAATTAAATTTAAAAAGTTAAAATTTTGTTTCTTCAAAATTTACTGTAGTCTTAGGGATAAAACCTATCTCAAAGAGATAAAGATGTCTATCTATCCCACCATTCTCTTTATACATACATCCAGTTTTTAATTCTGCTTTTCATCTAATATGGCATAAATTTTTCCATGCTGCTTCATAAGCCACACAATTTTGACATTTAATGGTGACACGAAATTCCATCATTGAGGTTTCCGCCAAGAAGTAATTGCCCCTGTAGTAGGAAGTGTAATTTTTCTACTGTTACTGTGAAAATAATACTGTGTACAACAGCTTTGTGCTCTTGGTGTTTCACATCTGTTAAGTTAGTTTCCTTGGATAACTTTCCCAGAATAGGAATCTTAGGTCAAAGATGCAAAAATATTTTAGTAGCTTTCCAAAAATGTTCAAACTTACAGTATATCAAGAATACACCAAATTATGCCATTTCTTTTTCCTTTAAATCCCTTGGGATAAAATGTTACCTCAAGGTTGTTTACTTCCAGTTCTGTAATTACTATCAAGTTCTGATTATTTATTTTTCCTTATGTTTCTAAACTATCTGTATGTCCTCTGTTAGGAGTTTTTTTCTCACACCTTTATTTTACAAAAAGAATTGGAATGACTTTATAAGAAAAAATAATATTAACCTTCATCATATTTAGGCTTTTACCTTTCCTATTTCCTTGTCTGTCTTTTCTTTTTATTTCTTTTGCTATTGCACTTTATGAGTCAAATTTAGGTTTTCTATTATGTAAAGCATAGAATGTTAATGCGCTACCAGAATCCCTTGTATTTACTTGTTAATTCAACAGTTTTTCAGTGAATGGTGATAACGTACCAGAAGAATGTGCAAGCAAGAAATACTTTAAAAATTCTTGCTCTCATGAGCCTTACATTGTAAGAAAAGCAGACAAGAGAAAAATGAAAACAATAAATTCACATAGTGGTACAAATAGAGTAATATGATAGACACTGACAGGGGAAGGAGACAATAGTCAGTAGTATAGTCAGGGAAAACTCTCTGTAAAGGTAGCATTTGATCCAAGACCTAAATGTCAAGAAGAGCTAGCCAGAATAAACATCTGGGATAGCACATTTCTAGTATTTAATTTACTTATTTGTTTTATTTTCTTTTATACTTTTGTCTATGCTATCAGTTATTGGATGAGTTCTACATAACAAATCACTCAAAAGTTTGTGATGTATCTGAGCCAAGAAACACGAAGGTGACAGATGATAAGGGTAGACATGATAGGGAGGCATGGTATTCTGTTTATCCAACAAAAATCTCTAATAATCCTGACCTTTCCCATTGCTGCATGATATTCTTTATTAAATTGTTATGAAAAATAACATATTTGTCTCAGTGGTAGAGCACTTCTGCAGCATGCACAAGAAATACAGTATTTCTGAGCCTTCTGTTCTCTTCTATTAAAATACATGTCTATTCTGAGGCTAGTATCATGTTATTTAAATTATTGTTCCTCTTATATATTTTAATAGTTGGCCTTAGGACTAACCATTTTATTGTACTTTATTTTTCAAAAAAAATCTTCAATTTCACCTGGCAATTTTCCAGCCAAACTTTTAAAAATTGTTTCAGATTATAAGAAAAGAAATGCTACTTGGAGTTTTATTTAGATTATGAAAAAAATCTATTAATACATTTGAGAGAAACAAACACAGTTATAATATATACTCTTCCCATCTGGAAATATAGGGTCTCTTACTCATTTGTATTTCCATTTTAAAATTTCTCAGTAAAACCTTAAGCCATTACTATCTATAATTAAATTACTTCCTAAATATTTTTAACATTTGTTAAAATACATAATGGATTTCTTTTTTATTATGTAGGAAATATACATATATAAATATTACATATGTGTGCAATATTGATAATATTAATTATATAATTGAATACATTTTTACTATGTGCAGGACATATATTGCCTCTATTTTTGTTACTTTAATAAGAATAATTGTCTCATCTTAATAATAAAAATTATTAGAACCTTTTGTTTGACAAACTGTTTTGACTTTACAAATTTTACAATAATACATATGAATTATCTTTTTGTCTGCTTTGCAGTATTATTTCTTGCTTTTTTTCACAGTTTATGCTATGGATCAATATCAATTTGTAATATTGGCAGCAAGCAGCTGTTCTTACTTGTTTTTATTTTTAAAAATGGTTGTAACACCTTTCCATTAAGTCTATCTTTAGTTCTTGAATTTGTGCATTGTCATGCTAAAGAAGAAATTTCTAAAAAAAAAAGAATAAATTTCTACTTCTCTCTTTTTTAAATTAAACCACTGTATCTCAAGTACAGGTTACAGCCAGCCTCATACCTAAATTAAGGACACATAGTGGTTTTGAAACACAATGCAATACTGGAAATATTAATTCTTTTTATCTGTTAAAATATGATATAGCATTGTTTATAATTGGTTTGCTTAGAATTGTTAACCATAGTTAACAATTAAATAGTTAAATAGTTAAATAGTTAAATTGTGTTTAAGCTAGAATTACATTCCATTATTCATTAACTTACTAAGCTGTTCAGAAAGTGAATTAATTAAGATTTAATTTGGCAAGTAAAAGAGAAAACAGCATTTGATTGATCAAAATTACTCATACATCTCTGGCTTCTTTATCAAAGGTTTTTATAACTGACCCTCACAGTAAATCATACCACAAAGTCCATGCATGCTAGAAAGGCACTCTTACTGCTTGAGCCACTTCACCAGCCTGCAAATGTAAAAGTCTAACAGGAGCATTCGT